GATCAGCTGATAACAGTGGATGAACAGCTCCGCTGGAACCAGCAGAAAACAATTTTCAAGTCAAGAATCCTTTTCTTATAATTGCGATATTGAAAGTTACGGTTTCATGATATCAACGATTAAACAATCCAGTGCAAAAATCATCCTTCTCCTTTTCGTTTCTCTTTTTTCTTCTCTTCCTTCTTTTTTTTCCACTTCTTATTGACAAAAATAAAGTAAATTAAGTGAGTTTTTCGTAATATAATTGATTACACGTTTAACATTCAGTTTTATTCCTTTTTTGATGTACAAAAACAACAGTTTGACGGCAAACCGGTTGTTCATCTGTTTCATGCAACTTTTTGCCTGTGATATTCAACATTTGAAAATCATTGCTTTGATGATCAAGAAGTTTTTTTACAGCAGAAGTAAAAACTGAAAAAAAATTTTTTTTTCTTTTTTTCATTTTCAAACTTTTTTTATTTTTTTATGTTTTTTCCTCTCCGTTATCCTAACATCAAAAAAAAAACCAAAATATGCTGTAACAAACATAGGTTTTAACAGCAGCAGAGAACAGAACTGAAGGAAACCTATTTTATTTGTTCTTTTCTGTTCTTCTCTTTTCCATTTTTTTTTTTTTTTGCAGATTAAGCCTTAAAATTTTAACGATAAAAAGAAAAATTCAATTTTATTTCAATTTTTGCTCATTATTCGTTGCCATCTTGTAGATGTTTTTTTTTTGAACAGTTCATCAAAGTCGCGCAAAAAAATACACTTTTTTAGTGGTGGTATTCAGTTAAACACCTTAAATTCACAATTGTCTTCTTTCAGACACTTATTTAGACATTAAACCAAACGAAAAATTCCAACAAAAAACTACAGAAAAAAAAACAAAGTAACAGTAAAACGATATATTAATAAAACAAATATAGGCAACAAATGAAACAGTAATTACGTTTTGAATAACGAAAGTCGCATAATTTTTGGCGTTTCGCGTATTTTCAGAACAATTCCTCAGGCATCTTTTGACTCGAAAAAAAAAGTGGCTGAAGTTAAAAGACTGTTTAGAAATTGTTTTCCAGTACACAAATCAAACCGAATAAACTGACTGTAACTGAAGCAAAAAGTTTTCTGATATTCAATAAACAATTATTTTTTAGATGAAAAACGCTTAAACAATAACAACAAAAAAAAGGAGTATTTTAAATAATTTCATAAATTGTTACTGCATTCCATTTCTTCACTGCATTCTTTTTTGTTCCTCTTTTCTATCCACCGTCATTTTAAACATCTGCTAAGCATTCATTCTTTTTTTCTTTGCTTATTAATATCTGATCAGAAGCATTTAACTGCTTGCGTACTGTGCTCTACGGCAGTAAAATTAATAAAAATTTTTTTCAACAGATTTTCATCCCTATTTCCTACAGTTTTTACTACACTTACAATACTCATAATTAAGCTTAATGAAACGTTCTGTCAATTTTTGATGTTTGATCGCCTAAGCGGAAAAAAAGTGCGAGTTTGAATCTTCATCTAAGCAATATTCTAAAAGGCTAAAGTTTTTTTTGGTGTGAGTGTGTGTAGGAGAATTCTGTTCTTTTTTTTTTTCGCTGCTGCTACATCAAATGTGCTTCCGATTCAATTGTTTTGGCTTTTTTTCAAACGCTAATTGATTTGATAGTAAAAAAAACAGCGATGATGTAGAAATACAAAATGACTCATAGATAATGTAAATTTATTCAGCGTTAAAAAAACTTAAACTTGCTTTCTAAAACTGCCCGAAAGATACACTGCTTAAGTTGCGTATTTCATCATCAAACTTTCGGCCGACGAACAATAGCATTCAACTGCGAAACGGAAAGTAGTGGTGCTAAACGGAAAAAGAAAGTGGAGTAAAAAAATATAAATATTTCATTTAAAGAATAGCATAAGACAGTACTGAATTTAGCAGTTATTACTTATTAACATTTTTTATCTTCCACAGACCAGTAAATAGGCATCTAACTGCAAAGCTGTACAGACAGTCTTAACAAAATAAACTGATGAAATTTGATCTTGTACAATCAATGTTGGATCAGAAGAATAAATTGAGAATGACGATAAAATGGGTGTTTCGGTTTTTTGGAGTTAACTCAGCTAACAGTTTCACAGTTCATGCGTTTAGTTCAGCAATATACCCGCAACAGTTTGATGATGCTGTATTTGAAGTAAAGCTGAAATTTGGCAAGAATAAATGCCGTTATATAGTTGCTGACGGACAATCAGTTCATCGGTATTGGTAAAACAGGATAAGATTTGATAGACAGTAAAAATTGATTGATAATTAATTATTGTCAAGTTGTTAAGCAACAAAAATTTTTATCCTAACAACCTATCGTCAACAAACAGAACCTTTTTTTTTTTTTTTTTTTGAACAAAAAGACAGTTTATTTGTATAGAAAAGAATGAAGGAAAAAAAAAACAAATTATTCGAGCGATCAAAAATTTTTTGGATACATTTGAAAGAATCATTATCTTCAGGCGGAGGCAGCCTTTTTTCAAATGTATTTCCATTGAACCCCTATTAAAACTTTAAGACAGCATATAGTTAATGTTTGCTTTGTTTTGCATTTGAAAAAAAAAATTGGAAGAAGAAGCAATATCTTATATGTTCAAAAGCATATTTTTGTTGTGCATTAGTTTACCCAATTATAATCAAACATTACCAATTAAATGATGATCAAAAGCACACAAAACACAAAAGAAAAAATGGGATAGACAAGTAAAAAACCAATAAATATCTTTATTCGGTATTGTTTTTCTTTTTATTACTATTATTGATGTCGTTGTCGTCATCGTTCGCCTTTTTTTTTTTTTTTTTTT